ATTGTGCAGAAAACAAAGAAAGTAGATTTTAAGATGAGGACTTTTTTTGCTCAAATTAATTCCAAAGATCAAAGTCCATAAACAAGCAAATTAACAACCGCCACCATGGATATACAAAACGACCAGAGGAAAATGAATGGAAATTACTGTCTTTGACAGAACATTTATCACAGGAGATATACCCGTATTTCTAAGCTACTGTGGTCACATAAATTTTTGCTGGTCTTGACATTGTTCTGATAAAACACAGCATCTTTCGTTTCAACAGCGCAGTTGTAAAAAGAAAAAAAGCCTGTGGTTGTAGAAGATGCGTAGTCAGAAGTAACGAAAATAAATAATCAATTATTTTTAAGTGCAGAATCATTTTTTGAGACATCTTGATTTTACATTGTTCTGTCTGAAGCAACTTTTAAAGATTTTTAAAATAGCAGATCAAGCTTTGATCTAAAGATATCAACTTAGCAATAGGGATGAAGTCTTTACAAATAGCCAGAAATACTGGTCTGCAATGCCATTCTCAACCTGCAATTGCTTGATGAGGTGACAAGATCAGGAACAGCATACACAATGATAAGCTTTGTTTAGAGAGAGAGAGAGAGAGAGAGAGAGAGAGAGAGAGAGAGAGAGAGAGAGAGAGAGAGAGAGAGAGAGAGAGAGAGAGAGAGAGAGAGAGAGAGAGAGAGAGAGAGAGAGAGAGAGAGAGAGAGAGAGAGAGAGAGAGAGAGAGAGAGAGAGAGAGAGAGAGAGAGAGAGAGAGAGAGAGAGAGAGAGAGAGAGAGAGAGAGAGAGGAAGAAAGAGAGAGAGAGAAAAAAGAGAATGTGAGAAAGAGAGAGAGTGTGAGAGAGAGAGAGAGAGAGAGAGAGAGAGAGAGAGAAAAAGAGAGAGAGAGAGAGAGAGACAAAGACAGACAGACAGGGAGACAGATAGAGAGAGAGAGAGAGTGAGAGAGTATGCACACAAGGATTCCCTGTGAGCACCATTTGTCTCCATTTGGCTGGGCACAGGAAATATCCATTTGAAGTGATACCTCTAATACACTTATTTTTTTGCTGGAAAACCCAAAAATCTATCTGAGGGATGGCAATCATTCTTAGTGGAATAACTTGGTACGAAATGAGCTAAGCTGGTATTTAAAAAACATCAGTCTGTTCTTCTCATGTAGCTGCATTTTACATAGCCACCATCACTTCTCTACAAGAACTTGGAAATTCTGTGACTGACCATGACAAAAATGTGTGCCACTGTTGTACTGTTCCTATCTGGTTAAACAGCAACTATCAAAATATTTTGAGTAAAACATGACTTCTTGAGAAGAACAAATTAAACAGTGGACTATGTTTGCAATGATGTCACAGTGCAGAGATAGTATAAACATCAGAAAACGAGTTGTCTCATTAAGCTTTGTACTCTATGTCCACTATGGTAAGAAGACACAAAATACGCATTGTTATCCAAAAGTCGTTTGACATGAGTTCATGTAAGCAAGCAATGTCCCACTGCAATAGAAAAAAAAAAAATTTTTAAATAAAAAAATAAAGCATATTTTCAAAAAATGATTCCTGGTTAAGTTGAGAAAGACGACATTCCAAACAGGAACAAATATAGTACAAGATAGGTTAACAGATTCAAAAAAATATCTTACTATAAGCATATTAAAAATAAAAATTTTTTTGCAAAACTTTATAATTTTTGTAACCACCGCTCAGAATTTTGGACATTCCACAGATAACTTAAATATATGAGAAGTTTAGGTAATGTGAATCCAAGAAGAAACCAAGTGATTTGGTGTCATATTGCCCAGGTGATGCCTCAATTTTAAAAAGTTTTACTGAATTTGTAAAACAAAAGATTACACATAACAAGCACATCACAAATAAAACCACCCAGCACAATTAACACATTAAAATGGGAGCGATGCAGAAAGACGGCAAAGTTTTGAGACAATCCATCCATTCAAACTTTTCAACAAAATAATGTCAGTATCAAATTAATTAAGTAGCAAAGATATTTGTCAGAGACAAAGCCTTTTACAGATAGATTTAAGTCCCACGTCCTTTTCAACAGAAAGTTTGATAACAAAAGATCTAGTGCTGGAAAATTTAGGTCCAACTCCAAAAAAGGCAAGGTGGAGTTCTAAAATGTTTTGTCTCCATTCAGAGACTTGAGACTTGCTTTCACCAGCCGGCTCATCGGACAGCCTCTTAAAATGGCAATTATTATTACATACAAAAATGTTCTTCACTGACGAGAATCCTATAATAATAATTGCATTTATATAGCGCATATCCATGCTCAAGAGCATGCTCTATGCGCTTTACAACTATCATTACCCCAGCAGACCTTCTGAGAACACTCAGAAACATTCTCGGCTTCCGCGGAAGCATACAGTGCAAGCTGCGGATTTCACGTGCTCAAACACTATCAAACTGACAAGATCGTTCACTGTCTATAGCCGGGTACCCATTTCCACCTAGGTGAAGTGAGGAAAATTTGTGCAAAGTACCTTTCCCAAGGACACAACGTCGGGCCCCTGACGGGATTCGAACCCACGACCTTACGGTTGCGAGTCCGAGAGCGTAACCACTAGGCCATCGACGCCACTATCCCATGATCAACACAAAAAATTCAAATACTAAGCAAAGAAAAAAAAAAACATATAAAAATCGGCAAAGCTTAAAAAGCAAGTGATTCATACTAATATCTCAGCAAAAGCCAGCCAACCAGAAGCAAAAAAGCATATAATGTATGAGGGACAGCCAAAGTTGTTAGCCACCTATGAAGAAATAAAATGCCAATCAAATTACCATCATACTGGCATAGTATAGGCCTACTGTCAAGTCCAAGGAAAATTAAGTTGTAGGTTTTGGTTTATATGATTCATCAGTTATGAGCAGTAATAGTAATACTTGATTTATTAGAAATAGATCATGTTTGACAATTCTATAAACTAAACCACACAAGAAAGCAAACCAAATATATGGATTAAATGGTTAACTTTGGTTAAGAACTTAAGCAAAAATTAATCAGAGAAACAACATGTATATAATGTGGAACCCAAATAGAACAGTGTTGGTAGCTTCCACAGATCAGAAAGCTAGAACCAGAGCCTCAGAACCTTATAAAAATAAGAATTTCAGGGAGCCTAAGCCTCAGAATCTGACAAAAATCAGAACTTCTGAGAACCTGAGCCTCAGAACTGGACAAAAGGAAGTCTGAGAAAAATTTGTCATAGGAACAAAGTAAAATCAACCTCAAAGCACAAGAAAAATCAGACCCCACAGAAATCTGAAACGTCCAACACCAAGGAAAACCAAGGTCTGCTCCCTTACTTTCCTTAACTGAGACCCAGGACACTTCCCCAGCAGTAAGCACCAGTGTCTCTTTCTAAACCATCTGACAATAGGCACAGCTGAAGGAAACATTTTCATTTCCACTTGGTCATTTGCACACCTGAACCCAACAAACTTGTGAGTATGCCTAAAGGTGATGCGACCATTTCTGCTCTTCCACACACTGAACCAATGCTTCAACATAAGGCAGAGTAGGCCTACATCTGGCAGTCTACACACAGGAAGCTCTGAGGCACAAGTCTTGTAGGCTGGGGGGGCTCTAAGGGTATTAAGATTGTATACATCAACATTTGGCGAGGCAAACCAAAGTGTGAAAGGAAAGTGAGTCGTCAACTGTTAGCAGCAGTCTCTGTCCAGAATAAACATTAACGAAAAGATGTAATGTTCATAAGGAGATGTTATAACTACCTCAATAATATGAAACCTGATGATAATTAAAAATTAATATTAAATGTTAACCAAAGAATAAAAGGTGAGTGATGGCCATGGATCCGGTATCCTGAAACCCCCAAAAACTGAGAGACTCACCAAACTGAAAAAATGTAGCATGTTTCTGGTGCAGAAACTGCAAAGGGGTTTGACTATTGGTACATACCACACGGCAAATATACGTCACGAAACCACAATAACGAGAAGAAGACATCACAACTATAATAATGGATATAATGTTGTGTGGGAGAGTGCTCAATATACTTTCAGCAGTGATATATATGAACTTTCATTCTTGTTCATCATTGACAAAATATATGAAAAAAATATTACCTCTTTCGCCTCTCTCTGTCTCTCTCATCCACCCCCCCACCCCCTATCTACTGGCTTCCATAAAGAGAGTATCATAACTCATAAATGAATAAATGAATGAAAGAATGAAAAGCAAGGCAAAAATCTTAGAGCATTCCCACATATTTGCCCCCAAAAACCTGAGATGAACACAAATGTTTTGATTCTAGACTAGGCGAGTGTATATATGTAACAACATCATAGCCATAAGAAAAGACATCTATGAAAAAACAAAGCAGATGCAATTCTGAACTAGATTTCTACATTGTTACGGGCCAACAAAAGCAGGAAGCAAATTCCATAAGACTGTTGACCTATATAAACATGGAAAAAAGATGAAACAGAAACCCACCTCAGATCAATATTTAGAACCAAAAAAAAAAGATATTCACACAGGCTACTTTAGCTAAAAGAAAAAAAACATTGCAAAACACAGGAAAGTTCAGTAAGCTATAGTCAACTTGATAGCTCATAGTTTTTCATCACCTCTGATAAAGGGCTCGCAAAAATTTATGGAAACTCTCTTAGCCTGCCTAGTCATAAAAATGTTCCTTTTCAGTTCTCCTCAACGGATAGGCAAATCAGCTTAACGAAGACAATTTCATGAGCACATTCATGTATCCACAACATGAAAAGTGTCAATCTATGCTTGGGAGAGCTGAAGAAAGTAGGGTATAATACCTTTTCCAAGGATGCTCAATTAAACCAGATAATGTACTGTTCAACTCACAGCAAACATGACTTCAGCCTTCATCATAATGCAGAGTTAATATTGAAATAGAAAATGAACCTGGAGAAAAAAAAGAAAAAAGCAAGGGAACCTTTAAAGGATATCTCGTCTTATCATTTCTGACACTTTTTTTTAAAAAAACAAAACCTTGCGTATGAAGAATTGTGCTATTTGCACATCAGTGTTGACTATTGGCTCAGTATGGTACAATGTGAACTAATGCTCAGCACTCTGCAGTAGAGAAGCACAGGTCTTCTAGACAATTTTGTAAAGAAACTGTAACATGAGTATCCCTTGTCACAGCATTGACCTTATCAGACCTTGTTCAATAGTGGTCAATATTTCCTCACAACACCATATTCTGGCCTACAAATTGTAAGGTAGTGCGATGTAAACTGTCTTTTTCCTGTCGGTTCAGAGGTTATGCGTCCTACTGTGTGAAAAGTTCCATCAACAATAAACTCATTTTTAAGTTTGAAACGTTAAAATCCTAGGTCAGAAAAAGACCTCAAAGAGATTCAAATATGCTTTCCCCCACACTGCAGCTTAAAGTCTAACAAAACATTGAGGAAAAAAATTAACAGTATACAAACAACAGATCATTCTAGTCCCCATCCTAGCAACTGAATTCTTTTACCAGATTACCTAATAAGGTAGTGGAATTTGTAGAAACTGCCGAACATAAAGAAAAAAATCAAGCAATCAGAAGAAAAAGAACTGAGTTACAATATCTAATTCAAAATAAATCTTTAAATAGAACAAGCTTAAGGAATTCCCAGATCTTATTACAGCAAAACATACAACAGATAGAACCCAGCACATTGATTCCCCATAGCAGAATTACAGTGCTCTTCGTATTGTACATATTTTACAAAAAGAAACATTCACAATTATTATAAACAACAAATATATAAATCTTTCTTAAGTAAAAGAAAGGGCAAAGGTTAACAGTTTCTTCTTTTTTAGTCTGAGATGGCACCAAGAGACAAAAACCAGAGAGTTAAATGTTTACTGTTAGAGCAAGAACATGATCAACAAGTACATAAATAATTCATCAGAAGGAAAATGCCCATAAAAGTTAAATCTGACATTACAATTCTCTTTAACAACACATCCTAAAGCAGAAATAGAATCCATGCCAGCTTCATAAAAAAGTAACAACACTTTGCCCAATACAAGGCACAACCAAATTCAAATTAAAAATTATACTTCAGTCACATATAAGGCTCACTGGCTTACATAGTGTACAAAAAAATGGTATATTTGGTGAAACATGCTTCATGATGTATATGGAAAAAAAAAAGCAATATACAGTGGTTTCATAGAGAGCTGTTTTTCTGAAACACATATACATGTGTTTAGAGATCTTATCTTAGACAATGAAATTTTAAAATTTAGCTACTAAATCATGTAGCAAGAGGGTTAGATTTGAAGGAAACGTAGGGTCTTGAAGTCGGCAAAATACTGTACTACTAATCGTAAATGACAAAGATTATAAACATTCAACGTCTCAAGTGAACATCATTAACCCAATGAACCCTGACCCCAAAATAACCCATTCCCTGGCTTCCTGGGTAAAAAATGTGTTCATGGCAGCAAACAAAAGACACAAAAGTTTATTCAAACAATTCCCTCTTCTTTGAGCTGCCTTGACTATTACAATAGTTAGCTACATATCGTTTAGACGTCATTTTCCCACCTTTTTATCTGTGTACAGAGAACTGTTCTATGGTAGACTATCACATACCGATATATCGGTGCTTCGGGGTAGGGGCAAATAACTTGCACACTGATATATCAGTGTCACGGGTTCATTGGGTTAAAGAGGGTAGCTTCTTCCTCCATGCTTGTCAGGGCCAACCTGGGCTGTGAGGGATAGGCCTACTACTACTACAGCTCAGTAGAAGGACAGACAACTGCACAATATTCGAAAAACAATCTGCAAAACAAAAGTGGCTCTCAAGTACGCTTGAGAAAACATATCGACTGTTTAGTGTAAGACTCCGCCATATACCATCTTGACAAAGTGACCTATGACACACTGAGCCCTTGAAATGTACCAGTCAATCAGACTGCTCCAATCACCTGCAAACAGGTATATCAGTGTGGGACTGCTTTCAAATGTAATCAGGGGGCATTTGTTTCTGCTTATGTTCAAATGTAACCTCATATGTGTTTGTGACTACATTCAAATGTAACCACATATGTGTTTGTGACTACATTCAAATGTAACCTCATATGTGTTTGTGACTACATTCAAATGTAACCACATATGTGTTTGTGACTACATTCAAATGTAACCACATATGTGTTTGTGACTACATTCAAATGTAACCACATATGTGTTTGTGACTACATTCAAATGTAACCACATATGTGTTTGTGACTACATTCAAATGTAACCACAAAAAGGTTTGTGTAGGACTGCACTCAAAGTCAACCAGAAGGGTACTTTTTTGAACCTACATTCCAACATAACAAAACATCACATACTCACTTCTCAGAAACATTACTGTCATGTCATCATTAATCTAAATTAGAGATTTAGATCAAGGCTACTACTGGATAGCCACATAACACAACACAAATGGTACCAACACAATGCAGTCCTTTATCAGTTACACTTCATGACAATACAACACATTATAAATTTATTTCTGAGCTGAAAAATCAATGCTAGTTGTAGTGAGCTAGTTTTATATCACAGATTATTTCAAACAGAAGAGCTATAAGATAAGTCATTTCATTAGCACAGGAAAAGCACAAAGCGATGCCTCTTATATACTGAATCTTGCTTAACAAAGATTTATTCAGTTAACAAAATTGGGATAGAAATAAATAGTACCTTTTATGATCATAAATCGAGAGTAGGTGAGCAAACATCTCAAAACAGTAATGCAAAAAATACGATTTACACTCACACTTCATTTAGGACGCTTTTCCCCACACATAGCACAAGCTACCTTTTTGGACAGCTGCAGGCATAGGCCTACTGTTTAGACCAGGGGTGAGCATACTTTTTGAATCAGGGGCCACTTTGAACAGCAAAGGGTTCCATCTTTGAAACAAGAGTGTAGTGCACTAGGAAACTTTACTTTTTCTTTAGTAAGAAAATACCATAAACTTCATTGTTATAATAAAATGATAGTGAATAGGAAACCTTTGGAACACAAAGTTAGGATTTCTATGACACTACAAAAGCCCTTCTCAGCTTAAGGGTATTCATAAATTTCATATCATTTTCATATAAATGTATCACTTTGTAACCTAAAAAATTAATCCACCATATATATTATATATGTAAGCAAATAGTCTTTTCTGGGTCATCAAAAAAGTGGGTATAGAAGAATGCAATGAAATGTTTTTTAATATCACTTTCACAAAAGCTATACGAGTGTACATCAAATTTTAATCTCAGCTGCTAAACTCCATTAAAGCCAGGGCTATTCTATAATCCAACTAAATAGCAAGAGAATGACTCGCGGAAAAAAAATTAAGAAATTGTATAGGTTTACAGTCCCTTGCAAAACTAAGGTTATTCAAGGAGAGGGACCTCTGAATTTAACATACACTTCCAGTAGAACCAAGCCAAACCGGAAAATTTGTGTAAAGTGCCTTTCCCAAGCACATAACGTTGGAAAGACTGACTCTGGTCAGACAATGATGGTTAATTTTAATATTTAATATTTCTTAAGTAAGAAAAAATGGACACAAAGAAACACAAAGACAACATTCAAAGCTCAAAAAGTTTCAGCAGTTTCATGAGATACCACCTGGTTCAGTCAAGAATCACTAGATAAATGTACAGAGCCTAAATTCAATGACCATGAAGCACTCGACTAGACAAGTCAGCCATTTTCCACGTCTTCAAAGCAATGGTACATGCAAAAAATAATAAACGAAGGTAAGAAGTGAGTATGAAATGAAGTCACAGCCTTTGGCAATACGAAATATAAGAGGAAAAAATGACAGCTCACACCAATTTTGTTATAGCTGGCCCCCAACGTGGTTAAGAAAGGTGGGGCGGCAGCTAGTGATCCCTCCCCTTTAAAAAAGATAATCACAGCAGAAATGTTAACAAGTTATTTCTAAAATATCCATGACACCTGGAAGGACACACCCTCAGTGAAAGGACCAACACTTGTCTCAGGAAACTGACATTCCTGCAGTGTTGAGGAGACTGGCCCCAGATCTTGACGACTGAAGAGAGATTGTTTAATAAGGGGTCAAAGGTGGAAGTAAGAGGTAATGTGCTCATGCTAACAAGGTCACCCTACATTTCACCGTTATAGTTTACATAATAAAGGACAAGAAACCATGCATTTTAAGTACCGTGGTCTTTCCATGACCCCTTACTAATAACAGCATTGTACGACATGATGTTCTGGACACAAACTTGACACAACAAGTACATCATCTCAATACAGAACAACACACTTCGTCGTGTGTGCATGAAGTACAAGATTCTCAATTTGACATAAAACTTCACCTATAAATACAGAATCACACCCACAACACACTTCTTGGGGTACAGGATTCAAGATCAGACACAGAATATTTTGTCACAACTGCACAACCAAACACAAGGCATGTTTTTTCACGTGTGCTTGGGGTTCCAGATTTGCCACAGACAGCAGCATCTGACTACAGAGCCACACACACAGCACACTTCTTCACATTTGCTTGAGGTACAGCGTTCCTGACTACAGAACCACACACACAGCGCACCTCTTCATATGTGCTTGAGGTTCTGCGTTCCTGACTACAGAACCACGCATAGCACTCTTCTTCACATGTGCTTGAGGTTCTGCATTCCTGACTACAGAACCACACACACAGCGCACTTCTTCACGTGTGCTTGAGGCACTGCGTTCCGGTGTGCTGTGTTCCTGGGCCCTGTCCGTGTACTGCCCTGATGGCTCCAGGTGTTGAAAGAGGCGGGGTCGGGCGGGGCGTCCCCGTAGCGGGACAGCATCATGTCTAGAGAGGAGTCTCTGTGGCTGGAGTGACGATGGAAGTCCACCTCACTCAGGGAGCTCATGCTGGTGCGGTAACCTGTGACAAACAATTGGAATTATTAATAATTAAGCAATAGGACTGAAATAACAACAACAGTAATTATGGCGCCGTAGTCTGAAAAAAAAAAGAACTGAATCATTAACATTTAAATCAATAATATCAATAATAATAACAATAATGATAATAATAATGGTAATAATAGAAATAACATCAAGAGCTATCATCTATATCAACAGCATATAGCAATCAAATAAACCGATACCAAATTAAAAGAGGAAAAAAAAGAAGACCTCCCCATAGATACAAGGATACTTGCAAGAGACATGACCTCGACTGATTCCAGCCTAAATACCTGGAAAGTGTCAACTGGATATTGCAGCCAAAGGAGAAATGAAGTCAAGTTTCTGTATTCGAAGTAAACTCCTTTGTTCCTATTTTATTGTAAGAATGAAATGTCACAGAATTCTTTTTATTATCTGCTTACTTTTGTCTGTGACACGTCACTTGTAACAAATGTACAGCGAGATTCTTAAGTTTGAAAGAGTCTCACAATCCAATGATGTGCCAGTCTTTAAAGGCTTTTCAGTTTGATGATAGAGAAAGAGGGAGAGAGAGAGGGTTTTCATTATCCAAGTATTTTGCGTTTGACCAAAACACTTGCAAACACAATGTACAATGAACTCTTTGTGGCTAAAAAAAACCCCAACTAAATGACCTTCAGGAGAAAGTCTTCTATGCAAATGCAATATCCGTTCTTGTTCTTTAAAAAAATATTTTACTTCTTTTTTTGCTTCACCATGTCGTCAGATGTATAGCCATGATATACTTGCTGATAGTTATTATATTTAGTCAGAATCCCCTCAGAGATCAAAACACAATGACAATAAAAACACTTTTTTTCGTTCGAGAAAACTCCTTATCACAACTTTCTTCTTATCTGCTTACCTCTGAGCATGAAATATCACATGTCAAAAATGTAATTGTGTGTAAAACTTTCAAAGTTCACTTACAGTAACAAATGGGTCGCTTAACAGTGGAATCAGGCACTTGACAATTTTTGCGTATATGGGGTTGTTGGTGTAATCTTAAAGCCTGTTCATTTGCCTTCCTTTTGATGAACAAAATACCCATCTATCTTGAATAGAAGTTGAGATATTTGTGATTGAAGGAGGTGAGATTGTCTAGTGTCAGAGGTTAAAATTAGCATGAAAATGACCACCAAAGCCTGGTAACTTCCAAAGCTGGGGTGTCCTTAGAAACTGTAAACTTACAATTTTTGGTGCCCTTGATCAACATTTTCGGTAAAAATCCACTCAGAAATGTGTTTTCATATGGACATAAGAAGTGTTCAGCTAAAAAAAATTATACGCCTAAAATTGCCCAACAGAGAGAAAAATGTCGGTTTCTTCGATATTTAATTATTTTGACAAGCGCCTGATTCCACCACGACGCCACATCAATGTGTCAGACCTGAGAGATGATCCGACATGTGAGTCGGGGCTTCGACGGGGACTACCACGGTGGTGTCCAGACAAGGGGTCAGGTCTGGCTCAGCGTGTAGAGACACGCGCTGGACCACTTCCGTGTACTTGTCCATGAGGTCAGCATGTATGCCTGTCCCACCATGTCCACCCACACCTGAAATGTCGGAATACAAAAAAGGATAATGTTGTGACTTCTAAACTGCCATATTTGTAAATCGCAAACAACGCCAATTACATAAGTTAATTTTTATTTGTTTTTAGTTCTGATAAAAACTTAAAAAATCAAACTTAATCTATGTCAGACTTATGACGTGAATAAAAGTGAATATGTTTCTATAATTGAATATTTTGGTACTCGAACCAAAACCCTGCTATACTGAGGGTGTGAAACAAGTAACAGGTATTTTTACCATACCAATAATAGGAAACCTGAAGAAAAAAATTACTTAAACTTTGAGTAGTTAGGATCCTGGCAAAATGTCAAACGGCACGAACACAAATTCCTAAAAACTGATGTTTTATACAAAGCCTTTCAACATAAATTCTCCATTCAGAGTTGAGGTCTACATTCTTTTCTTCTCAGTCTCAGGTGATGAGAAAAGTCTAGAAAGTGAATAGCTTTCTTGATTGCTTAGCTGAATTAATTTTTTTCAGGATTGGGGGGTATGGAGGAGTGGAGGGGGGCGAGAGAGGGGGAGCAGAGGGGTTATATTTTAATTTTGTCTCTCTAAATCTCTACACATCATCCAAAATCTTACCTCCTGCACAACAGTTTCAACAATGTTTTGAAAAACCAATGTAATAAGAGGATTGAAAGATACTAACTGACTCAACACAACCTTTGTTCTAGCACACATACTTCAGTTAAAGTCTTATGACAATTGCAACACAATAAGGTCACACAGAGTGCTTAAGACCAGAGGTGTTTGCAGAGAGCAACAAACATAAAAGAGATGGAGGAGAGATAAGGACGACAGATGTTTGATAGAAAAGAAGGAGCAGACCACACCAGAGCACCCGCCAATCACCCACTTTCAGCACACAAAATCTTGAGCGCCAATCAACCTTTCAAGATAAAATTCTACGCTCAGAATTGAAGTCTAAAAGACGAGAGGGTGAACCTGACCAACCTTTCA